CCCCCCCCGCGCCACGAAATCTGCACTTCATCCCTGACACCCGCGCCTGCCACGAAATCAATATTTTAAGGTGAACTCCCCGGTGCAAAATTTTCTAACCAAGCAAATGTGCTTCCTCTATCTCTCTATCTATCTATCTATCGACCCATTTATCTTTTCAAAAAGTCCTGCGCCTGCCACGGAATCTGCACTCCAAGGCCCACAAATTCCTGCACCGGCCACCAACTCTGCACTTCCACATCCACAAAGTCTTGCACTTGCCACGAAATCCGCACTTCAAGGTACACAAAGTCCTGCACCTGCCACGAAATCTGCACTCCAAGGGCCACAAAGTACTGCACCTGCCACGAAATCTGCACTTCAAGGTCCACCAAGTCCTGCGCCTGCCACGAAATCTGCACTCCAAGGGCCACAAAGTACTACACCTGCCACGAAATCTGCCCTTCAAGGTCCACAAGAAGTCCTGCGCCTGCCACTGGCCACCAACTCTGCACTTAAGTCCTGCACCTGCCACGAAACACTACGACTACCACTACGATATTGCTGCTATTATAGTATTGTTGCTACTCTTACTGCTACTGCTATTTGGAATATTTTTTTGAGTCAGTATTCATTTTTTATTGATGCGTGCAGAATATTTTATTGATACGTTAAAGAATTTTTTTGATCTCTCACCCTGAAACCACTAGCTTCGTTGGCTGATGTCATGCACTGACCCCCTGCAAGGTTAATTCTGCTAGACAAAGCTCTTGGAAACAGAGGGCGGCGCACGCACTCACACACAACTCAAGACAAGCCAAGCGCCGCCTGAGGTGGCTGTCTTTGAGCCGCGGGGTGTTGGCCTGGACACATCCAGGGTTGGCATACGGCACCTGGCCGGAGATCCTGACCTGGAGATCGTTTACAAGGTGGAATGAGATGTGATGTTAATTTTCCACAAGTGGTCCAGCATATGTGGTTTTATGACTTGACATAGGGGTGAGAGGGGCACTGCGAATTGAAAAGGAAGACTTGAAGAATCCTGGTGCATCGCTTGAGCATGATGTCAATTCTACAGCCGTCCCAGGAGTGTGGCTTCTCCTTTCGTTTGGACCTCTCCCAGCGCCTGTCGCGCTTGAGCCGCTGCCAGGGTGGCGTCGCCGAGCGTGGGCGGCTGCGAGGGTTGGTGCAGCCCACCGAGCGGGTGCTGGTACTGGGCTCCGGCATTGGACTGAGCTCCTGCATTGTGGGTGCTGGAGCCTTGGAGGTGTGGGGCCTGGAGAAGGATGAGGTGAAGCATGGCTTTGCTGAGGTGGGGGGGCGAAAGGGGGGAAGCTGGTGTGATGCTGAGGTGCTCCTCATTTTTGTTCCTACCCAGCCCAGTTGGAGGCCAACATCATTGAGAATGAGCTGGAAGGAAAGGTTCGGAGCATCGCGCGGGATCCTTTGGACGTGAACGACCTTGGCGGCTTTCATCGGATCTGTGCATTTCTCAAATTCCAGCCGGTTGCAAATCTGAAGCCGCTGATGGACGTCTTGTTGCCGGGGGGGCACCTTGCACTACTACAACCACGAAACAAAAGAGGACACCTTCATTCATTGGAAGTCATGCTTTTCCCATCCACTTAAATTCCACCCCGCCAATCCGCATAAGGGGCAAGAGCAACTGAACAAAGAGTTACTGAACGGACACCATGACCCCCAATCCAAATCCTGCCCACAAATTAATTATTCATTGTCTCCACAGTTCAGCATGACTCTCCAATCCTGGCTTGTCCTCGCTTCACGTCTGGGTATGATGATGCCACGACCTACACAATTAATGGACAAGATAACCCCGCATGTTATCATCTTCTTAAGAGCAACGGCGGCAGGGAAGAGGAGCAGGGTATAAGTCAAGGGGAGAAGAAGGAAGACAGGAAAAGTACACGAGCAAAATGAGTTCTGGTTTCTTACAAAATGAGTCGCATTTGGGGGGCCTCCCACACTGATCAAGTCTGATGCACCAACATTGGAAAACCTTACTGTAATGTCTTACAAAATGAAGGACGCAGCAATCTCAATGCTTGACCCCACATTTTCTATAGATTGATGGGGGCCAGTGGCCAAAAATGCTTGTAGGCACTGTCATTTTGTATCCCTGACATTTGGATGCACGTATGTATTTTGTAAGAAGTCTTGCTGCGCCCACAGAAAAGTGGGGTCAGACCCCTCACCCCTAATTTTACAGCCGATCTAAAAACGGACCAGCCCAGACTTCAGTGAAACAAGTCCAACAAGTCCACCTACTAACGAAACCAACATTCGCTCCAATCTTCAACCGTATCCCTAACCTTGTCCCCTTGAAGTTCTAACGTTACAACATGTGACAATTATGTTGGGCGGCTGTTTTTGTTTCTACAAGTTATTGTTGTTGTTGTTGCTGCTGCAGTTGTCCTCGATCTTCCCTGTGCACCTCTAGACCTAGCATGGCAGCTAGAGCATCACATTTGTGCCACTGGATTCCCACGTTTTGACCCTGTGTGGGTTTTAGGGTGGTTGGTCGCGAAGAGATAGAAACTGTTTCGATAGACTTCCAAGATCTTCCAAGTTCCAAGGCGTTCAACAACTCGTTCGCCTACTTTGGATCAGTCGACCTCTCCCCCAGGAGTTCCACCGGGAGCCCTTGGCGGTCTTGGACGCCTTCCGTGCGTTGTCGGGTCGCCCCATGCAGCTGACTTGGCGCGGCCGTGTGCCACGGAAGTCCATCGCACGGGATAGCTACCGAGCCTTGGACAAACCACGCGACGTGACGAGAAAGGTGTGAGGGTATGACAGACCTGGAACCTGAACATAGCATCACTAATTACACCTTCTTTTTTTTGGTGAGAGGATGTAAGAAGGAGAGGGGAAGAAGAACACTTTGCGAACTGAGGAGTTGGGATGGATCTCCGAATCGCATGAGAAGAGAGGACAAATCGGTTCTGCAAGTCTCAGGTTTCTTGTCCAGGAGAGATCGGAACAAAAGGTGCGAAAGAGCAACCGCTTGCGGCATTGAGCGCGTGTAACAGGGCATTATTGTTATTGATTGTTTCTTGCGGTTCTTGCGGGGCAGAACTGCATGGATTTGGCAGAAGGTACTATGACTAGGCAAAGGCCAGGAATGTCTTATCGCTTCAAGCAATCAAGCTGAATCAAACTGAAACATATTGAATAGTTCCTGGGTAGGCATGCAAGAACAGTCTCACGTTTTAGCGGGAATTGTAGCTTTACATCTATTTGGATGGCGGTTCAAGCTTCCAATTGTGCATCGATCCACAAGCAGCTCCATGCACAACACCGGTATGACGCCCTGACGGGCACGGGGCCCAAAGCACCGGGTGCCTTGGTGCCTGGCCAGGTTTGGTGAGCAACCTGAAGCAGTGACAGGGTCGCAAAACGGGAACCGAAAATGGAGTGTGCCACAGGGTGTTCTCCAGCTTTTGCCTCGCACATCCTTGTCATAGCCCTTTGCCTCGCACATCCTTTGCAACTTTATTGTGTGGACATTTTGGTTGATAGATGCAGAATGCTTCTGATCTATTGACCTCTGGCGGTCCCCATGTCGGTTCAAAGCCTAGCAGCTAGCAGACGGACCGAAGAAAGAATGACCCCCCTGATGCAACGCTATGGGCCTTTGTCAAAACGGTAATGTTTTTGCTGGGTGTGGGGACCACTTCACCAAAAGTGCTTGTCACAGCGCTTTTCCCAGATGAGACGTGACAGCCTCCCTCACCAACTGGGCAAGGTGGCGGAAGCATTGATCGAGCTAGCTGTAGGGAAGTAGAAGGTAGATATATTTCGGAAGGGCGCTGTGCACGGATTCTGCCAAGACATCTCAGCTAGTTGGCTGCCTCATGCAGCCTACGGAGTGTGCTGGCCGCTGGCGCCGCCATTGGTCGGGATGGTAGATCCCGGACTGGTTCCCTTGGCTGCGTTTAGAGTTTTGCAGACAGGATCCCAAGAGGTCAGCTTCTGTATCTGCATGATAGAGTTGGATGCCAGCGCACTTCAGAGTCCACATGGAAAGATGTTGAATGGCCCATCTCCTCGATCAACAGCTATTGGGTAAAACAGCCGGAGATCGAAACATGGCGCCCCATGCGCATGATCCATCTTGTGCGAGCAACGCAAGACGGAGTGAGCCAGCGGGGCTGAGGTCATCATCTTTGCCTTGCATTCTGTGTGCTCCATTAGTTTGACCCTGCTGAACAAGCAGCTGGCCAAAGAGATCCCATTTCCCCTCTCCATCGCCTCTTTGATCGTATACGCCTGATGGGTCGGTGGGTGACGGGGCGGCCAGCGTTCCGGACGTGGAGGTCAGAGGTGGTTGTGATGTCCTCTCCTACTGAGGTTAGCGCTTAGGGAGGTTGTGGACATGGTGGACCTAGGAAAAACTGCGATCAAAGCAGAGGACTCCCCAGAATTTGAGGATTGCAGAGTGTTGAAACAATGGCATGCAAAGACCTATTTCTGGGCTACTCAAGGCCCAAGTTACTACCCCTTTGGGCTTATCTGTGAGGGTCATCGCAGGGTGCGCTTGCACATGTTGCGAACATGTCTGATCTAGTGCGATCCTGGTCGCTGGCCTGCCAAGGTGTTTTTCCAATGTGTTGCCAGCATTGGCTTTACTATGACCCTTGGCTTACAGGTCATCATTGCTTCACATGGTGACACCGTGATGATTTGCGTATTCTGACCCTCAGGATTGCAAATGTGTGGCTTGCCCAAATCAAGAAGATCCAACTATCTCATCTGCCCGGCGCTATGCTCATTTCGGTCTTGTTTCTCTCCTGCCTGTGTCCGGGCAGCATGGGGTCTTCACCTGGGCCATTTGACAACGCAGTGGTTGGGGGTGACGCAGGGAGGATCGGGATTGGCCCCCGAGCCGCGGGATGCAGAAGATGTGGTCTTGTGTCTGGAAGCCCCGAGCCGATCAGCTCGGTAGAGCACCAGACTAGCAGCTTCCTTCACCTAGGACTAGCAGCTTACTGGGGCTGAAGCACGTCCATGTGCCAATGGTCGTGGTGGGGAAGAACTTGGGAGCCTTGGGCGGAGAGAGTTAGAGCTTCACATTTCTGTGCGCTTCGTGGCTCTTTTCTTGCCTTTTTTTAGTGCTAATCAAAGTGATACACGAAGGCCACAGAGGACATTCAATGTGAATTGTGGATCTCCACAGTCAAGTTTTTCCTTGCCTCCCTTGTGAGTCAACTGTCCACCAAGGGCCTTTTTGCACAGCCTTGCTGGAAGCAGTTCTCCTGAAGGTGGCAGCCATTAGTTATATATTCGGTATATTGACTGTACACAGCCATCATTGTCACATGCGCTTGGACGCTCATTTTTGTAAGCAAGCACCTCGGTAGAACTACAGCTGGTGTATGACCTACGGACCCCCCCCTATCCCTATGACCGGCGGATGATCAGTCCAACTCATGGGGCAGCAGGCGACCCTGAACCCGCGGACCCTCTTCTCCCTCCTTCTGGGCGTCATTGGCAGCACGCTCTATGCCATGGGCGATTTGAACTCGGAGCCTGGACAGCTGGATGGGTAGTCAGAGAGAGCGAGAGAGAGAGAGAGAGAGAGTCATGAAAATCTCCCAGATTGCCTCCCTTGCTTTTGGCTATGTCACGAACTGTCCAGCATGGCCAGCAACCTGAACATGAAGTGTTATACACTGTGAATTCACTAATCTCCGGACCATTCTGAGGATTCAGAAGGTGGCTTGGCACCAATGGGGTGATGCCCCTATTGAAGTGACTATATGTATACTGGCGACAACCCTGATACAGATACGATCATTGATACGTCAAACCGATTTTCAAGGAATTTCTTCAGGGCTTTTCGCATTTTGCAGGGATGCTTGGTGGGAGGCAGTTCAGCTGTTCCAAGGCCTTTTTCTAGTTGGTGGTAATGCACTTCTGGTGGCCCTCACCTCTGTCTCGGAGAAGTATGTGGTGCGGACCGTGGATCAGGTGCCCTTTGTGCTGGAAACGGTTCACAGAATGCAGATGTCTTCGGCATGGGCCCCATCCCATACCTGCCAGTTGACGCACAGGAACCACATCCAGTCGTCTAGCCGTGCTCATCCATTTTGAGCGGGAATGGGCTAGGCATTATTTGCTTGTTTTGGGGGCCGGAGAGTGGTGGCAAGAGGCCTCTGAGAGAGGTAGGCAGTGGAGTTCAGGTTTCCAGTTTAGACTGCAAATGAGAAAGTACGGATCTACATGATCTACAACTTTCTATCGAGCCCACATTGCCGATTCAGGCTGCCTTGGGCTTCAGCCTCTACCGCTCCTTGGCAGAGACTAACAACCTGCAGTTTTCAATATGGTGAACCAGTTTCGTGCAGACCAATCTGAAAGGGCTCTGGAATGCAACGTGCATTAGGCAGTTTGTGGTGCACTGAGTGCTTCACTCAGGAAATGCGGTGGCCATACCGCTCTTGTGGGTCTTGATGACTGCTGGCACCTCGCATGCGAGGAGGTGTTTCCCGGCTCTTCACCCTAAAAGACCGCCCTCGGGAGCCTCTCAATGTCAAGCTTTTTGCGCCAAAGCTGCCGTGCACCCATCAGGTATGGAGAACTTTAACGATGCGCTGGACGCATTCAAGAATGCCAGCCGATATTGCTGGATCGCCCCTTGTCATGCAATTTGGGTGTTCGATGCGGCTCCTCTATTGAGCTGGCGTGGCACATGCTCGCAACATCACCAGGCTGTTCACACGTGGTGCAGTTCGTTTGCCTGAAAAAGGAAGACCATCCTCTTTGTCGATCCATCAGCTCTAAATAGGACACGCACCGATTTCAAGACTCCTTAGAACATCTTAGAACCACCTCAAGGCATTCAGCCTTATCAAATTCCAAGCAAGCCCCCAAGTCAGTCTCCAAGTTACTTGGGCACCAGCTCCCAAAACCCAACATTGCCCCCCTTCACCCTGTGGCGAATGCTGAGCAACGCGGCTTCCGGGTTCCCTGGGTCAGACACCGTTCTCACCGTTCGTTGTCGCGTGAACGCGCGTTCGCGCTGACCACGCCACCAATGAGAACGCTGAAGCGCCGAGCCGCGGCGGGAGGTCTTTGGAGCCTCCACAATCTTCAGTGCAGCCGCGGGGCTCTTCATTTTCACCCTACAAGGTCGTGTGAGTGCCACGACGCCCGGAGATGGGAAGTTGGATGGAGTTTTTTGGGCGGGGCAGTCGAAAAGTGTGTAGTGCAGATTGTATTAGTATAAGTATAATCACGTGCATATATATATATATATATATGTGCAGGACGCACGGCGGACACACCCTTTTCCACTGAACTAAGGGGGAGGCTTGTGCCATAGGTACCAACCGGAGAGTACTAGGGACACACAATCTATACAACTTGCATGCCCGTGTCAGTTCCACTCTGAGGAACTGAGTGTGAGTTGAGAGACAGGAGTTGAGCGATTTTTGCTCGTACTTCACTTCCCATCAATCAAACACATCCTTTCCTTGCTGTTGGCGTTTGCGTCCAGAAAACATGAGCTCGTCATGAACAATCTTCCATCGTTGACCTAGCTGGACAAATCGGCACATTTGTATATCCTCACCTCGCTTAGTGATGCTATTGGCAAGCATGGCCTGTGAGTTAACCCACCTAACTCTCAAACCAGTTTCCTGTTGGGATTCCTTCAGTGTGATCAGCTCCAGGTCGATACGTTTTTGGGCTCCCTTAGGCGTGATATATGGTTTGTCAACACGATCAAACACATTTCGGCTATCCGTAATCAGGGTCCCACACAATAGAACTGGGGTTCTTCTTGAGGCTCAAATGGGAATATGTGCATGGGATCTTTCGCTGCCAACCGCATCTTGCACAAAAGACTATTGACATCAAGGAGCGTCTGTACAGTGCTGGTGTTCACCTCGGACAAAAACAGACTCGTGTATGCGACAAATCTGTATCCAACTTGGTTGGCATGCCAGCTCAGTGCTCCAAGCAGACCTCGTAATTCGGTCTTCTCTTCAGGAGTTGTCTCCTCTTTAATTTGTTTCTTTCTTTCTCGGGCGATTCGAATTTCTTGAACATCGCCCAAGTATTTGGTTTGTTCCAAAGAGAATCCACCGGATGGTGTGCTTTGCACATGAACTCCACACTGGACAAAATCATTGCATTCCCACTCCTGCCACTTAAATTTTCGTTGAATGGCTTCCTGGAGTGCTGTCCATTCAGGAGACTCAATCCCGGTGAAGAGGAAGTCGTCAACATGTCCCGAAATGAGAGCTAGTGTCTCACCTGCTCTCTTGTATCGCCACATACAAGGGTCGCTTTTGAGCTGCGAAAACCCTAGGCTTTTGAGAAACTGGTTCATGGTCTCAAACCACTCTATGGGAGCTTCAACTAAACCATAGCAGGCCTTGCGCATTTTCACCACACTTTGTGGTGCCAGGTTCATGGCTTCGCAGATCTTGACCGTCGGAATGAGGTACAAATCCCGGCCAAACTCTCTGCCCTGTAGGAACGCTGCAGCGACATCTCCCTTCTTGACTTGACAGCCATGGTTTGATGCCCATTGGATAAGCATCTGTCTGCTATGTCGGGTCATAGTCGGGGCAAATGTCGGTCGATGCTGGTATTCAGGGTCCATGTAACCCAAAACAACTGCTCTCGCTTTTGGCTTGGAACTACCATCTTCGGAATGCTTCCATGTCAATACCCATCTCATTCTCAATGCCTGGTGCCTTGCAGGTTGTAGATGTTCAGGCAAAGCCTGAAGGGCTTCTGCCGCGATGAACTTGTCCACCTCTACCTTTTTGGCACCAGCAAATTGCTCGTGTTCCAGGGCTGACAAATGACGTTCCGACACTTCCACTGAACGTCGCTTCAGAGCACTCACGAAGTATGCCACTGGATTGTTCATGAAGCGCTTCAACTTCCGTTGGTCTGTGGGCAGTTCAAGAGTCAGCTCCACTGCAGCATGTGGATTGTCCCAAGTGGTCCGCGTGTCTGTGGTTAGCCACGCTGACTCAGGCACCAGTTCTTGCCACGAGGGTCCTGTGAATAGTGCTGCGTCCTCACTGCGACTTGGCTTTGGGCTTCTGCTCCGGTCTTGTTGGCGTGACTGCTGTTGCTTGCCCGTGACTCGTCTTCGGTTTGTAGGGTGTTCTGTGTCATCCAACTCCTCCGGCTCCACCAGAGATCGTTTGTTCTCTGAGGGTCCAGGACCGGTATGGTCTTGAAAGGAGGCTTTGTGGAGATCTCCGGCTAGACTGTTGAAGGTCCACGGTAGTTGTGGTGGCCTGGTGAGTTCATGTAAGCATGTCTCCCGCATGGAGGCGGGCCTCAGTTGTTCTTGAGCTGCTTTCACAAGGCGATTGCCTCGTACCAGCCATACCACGCTGCTTGCACGCAGTTGACCGTGTTCTTGTCGTGTCTCAACTGCCAGGACTCTCGCTGGACCCACATAGTTGCCTCGATTCCAGGAGTTTTGCCTTTCGGCGTTCCCCAGCTGTGTTCGCCAGTAGAATACCAAATCACCTGGAAAGAAGTCTTTGTGAGGATGATGTTTCGAGTTGCGGGCTCTGGTGAGTTTCTCCTGCACTTGCCAATCGATGAATGCTTTGGATGCCTGTTGTCGCAACTGAGAGGCAACTTCCATCTCACCATCTGGAGACTGCATCATCTCCATTGGCAGGTCGGTAGTTCGTCGATCAAAGACTCGACCTTCGATGTCTGGCTGCCTACCGATGGCATGCTGAAAAGGACTATATCCTCGCACGATTTCTCGATGGTTCCAGGTGTAGATGGCATGTTGGATCAACTGTATGACATCCTGTTCCGCATCTCCGGCTGTCTTGGTGAGGAATTCTTTCACCCACTCAATGCAGCGCTCCACATGGGAAAGGTTCCAGTGTGCTTCGGCTGGGATATGGTCCAGGTGAATACCTCGTTCACTGAAGAAGTTCAGCATCTCCTCCGATCGGAAAGCTCCCTCCGGATCAGATCTTACCACATCCGGCATGCCAAAATATGGGAACCAGTGGTTTGCAAAGAGTTCAGCGTATTCGGAGGCTTTGACTCCTTTGCCTCCGTCCATCCGCATGACTTTGCCAACCAGGAAGCGACTTGCCTCATCCATGACCAAGCTGAATGAGACTTGCTTCTTAGAGGTTGGATGCTTCCAGTATGCAGTGTCGATCTGCACACTGCGCCAGCGGTCAGTGTGAACTTCCAGATTGGCCAGGCGTCGAGGATCAGGCCTCTTTCTTTCGTCACACGCGCTGCACCTAAAAGATTTGGCTATGGCAAGCACATGGGGACTAACCTGTCTCCTTTGAAGGGTTTTGAGCAACAGTTCACAACTCCCGTGTCCGGTGGCACTATGTATTTTGAACAACTGCTTCAAAATGCGATCTCGTTCCTCTCGGGACACTTGCTGTTCGAGTGGGGGTGAATCTTCCCCCGCAAAAACAAATTCACTCCATTCCTGCATGCAAACATGACACGTCAGTTCTTTCGTGAGTTTGTGAATACGCTTACACCAACATCCTTGCTGTCGTTTGGGAGTGTGTGTTTCCGTTTCGCACTCACTCGCTCGCAAAACATGAACATCCGAATCGAGGACCGACATATGGTACACCACCCGTCGAACGAACTCCGGAGTGTAAAACGCGGTCATACGAGTGGCCTGTCCTTCACACAAGGCATGCGTTTTGTTCAAACAAGCACAAGTGTCATGCAAACGTTCCGAGAGGTGACGGTCGGTGCACTCCACTCGCCATTCCTTTCCCAAGGGAACACCAGTTTTGGGGTCTTACAAACCAACCTGACAACCAGAAATGATGGCGGTAGAGGTGTTGCAGTGGTTTCTCCATTCATCCAACAAATCCCATTTCCAAGCCCTACATCGTCGACTCCACTCCCAACACACGACCGACCCAGCCGCATGCGCCCAGTGTGCCACCACAAGTGCTCCCACATGTTGTCTTCGGGCATCCACTTGTTTTTGTTTCAGGGCCTCTTGTTGTTCAGGGGTCCTTTGGTTACAGTTTTGAATGGGGGAAAAGGCACCGCACTCGGTCGCAATCCACAAAAACCGAGGCTTCTTCTCACGGATGACCTTAATGGCCTGTTTCACCCCCTCGCCCGTGCGAAGGTCGTATCCGTTCCAAACAGAGCAACGCTCGGCAGTGAATCCCTTTTTCAAAGCTTCGGAGGTCAGGAGTGAGTCTGGTGAACACGCGAGTTCCATCACAAACAGCCTTGAGGCATCACTTACGGACGCCCAAGCCTCTGAAAGAACCAACTCGCTCGCCTGTTCAAGGGACCTAAGCTTTTGCGGTGACAAGTGTTTCCACTCGTCAGGGTGGCCTAGCCATCCATCTTCACGAAACTCCCGTCGGATGCCACCGATGTTCCAGCTCGGGGAGGCGGCGTCTTGTGACGCTTCTTGCCCTTGAGCTCGTCGAGCTCCTCTTGCATGGCCTTCATGGTTTCCATCATGTCCTTCACTTGTTCGGTCATCGCCGAGGCACTTGCCTTGGCATCCACATTCTTGCTCGATGACCCCGCAGCAATGGCCACTGTTGGTCGGCTGTTGGTGAGGGCTGCATGGTATCCGGACCCCTGGTCCTTCATTGGTGTCTGAGGCTTCTCGATAGGATTGTGTTCCATCCTCTCGGCCCAACTGGCGAGTTGGCGAAGCCGCCAATCCGCCGTGTCCGAGTTGCCCACCTTGGCCTGAGCCCAGTTGAGGTACCCCGGATCGTGTTGAGCCACTTCCATGAAGCTCATGCCCTTGTACTTCCCAAAGTCGATCAGTGTCTCGTTGTTGCCGCTGTGGATCAACCATGACTTGAGCATCAAGCGCAGCTCCCCCACCGTGGCCTTGGCCGGATGTTCGATCTGGCGGGCCTGGCACATTGAGCGTAGCTCGCCAAGTTTCGCATTGTTGATCTCCTTGACAAGATTGTTGGGAGCTCCCTTGGGCTTGATGATTCCCTGAGCTTCGCGAGACTCGCGAACCAGCATCCGGCATTCCGGGAGTGTGAACTCCGTCCAGGCAATGCGCTTCTGACCATTGGCCTCGAGTTCCTGGATGCATTCCGTCTTGCTCAGCAAGTAGTGTGGCTTCATGGACTTGTCCGGCCACATGGTCACCTGAGCCGCGGTTGCTTCCTGAGTAGTTGCCATGAGAGCAAGCGTCAACGACAACGGGAGTGTGGTCACCGGTTTGGACACGTGAATCAGATGGCTGCGGGGACGTATGGGCATGCGATCGTTCGTCCTGGCATTCGACGGCCGAGCCTAACCTCACCTCATGTTCATGAGTTTCACCAGTATCACCAACCTGTTTAGTTTCTTGGTTCACAGAAGTGGTTTCGGGCAAAATCAGCTTTCCTGTCTCTTTATCCTCACACTCAGACCCAGGGTGATCTGAGCTGAGTCTGCACCCCTATTCGGGGTTTCCTACGAGCTGGCGAAGGCTCATCACGCGATTGGTGAGAGTTATGCCACTTTCCAAAAAATCCTGTGTCAATGGGATCAGTTGATGTCCCGTGGTAGAACGCTTGAGCTTCACTAAGGTGCGATCGTTGACCGCCGTGAACACCGCCTCATCGGTGCGAAAATCAATGATGGCGCCCAACTTGCGTAGAGTCGCAACTGACACGAGGATTGGCGCACTTCCCTGATCCAGGGCGTGCACCTTTAAAGACATTTGCTGGGCTTCCGTGGGAACATGTACATAACATGTTGAAACACACTGACTACGCTCACTGTTGCCGAAACCAAACGTAGGTCGTTCTGACAGGTCCACTCGAAGGACCCCTGGCAGGTTGAGGCGCCGGGCTTTGTCCTGCAGCTGTTCGATGGCGTTCACGGAGGCCATCGTCTTTGTGGCGCCACCATCCAGGACACCATACCCTTCTCGCAAGACTTGGTCACCCGGAATCAGGTCGGGTGAAGCTTCCTCCAGGTTGGTCCAGCAAAATGCTTCCGGTTTCACGCAAGCACTTTCAGGTAGGACCCCGTACACATACTCGGAGTGTTCAACGGCCTCATAGTTCTTGCCGTCCTCATTCTTCTTGGGGCAATGGGAGGTATCACGATCTTTTCCACAGCGAGCACACGGTCCTCCGGTTCTGGTTGAACTCGTTGTGTTGTTTGGCCGTCGGTCCCCCATGCCTCCTTTGCCCTTCCCCTTGGAATAGCCCTTGCCACGATCCGCGGATGGCGCATAGAAGCGACGTCCCATCCGCACCTCATGCTGTTTGGCTCGAGCTTCGCGAAGGGTCACCCTCGCTTGCTGTAGTTGAGCCCAGGCCTCATGTTCTTCATGTTTAGCCTGTTGGTACAAGGCTAAGGCATCCTCGGGGAGGTCCTCGTAGAAGCTTGTGTCTTCTTCCCATGGCTCCGTCTCATCTTCTTCATTTTCATAGAGAGCCTGTTTGGCTTCTCCATCTCGCTTCTTGATTGTCTCATCCGTGAAGTGGCTCCGAAGGGCGACTTCAACGTTGGCGAGAGAGAAATTGTTCTTGACCTCGCTCTGAATCAGACTGCGTTCCATGCCGTCCAGGTTGGCCTTTTCCAGGAGAAGCCAACCCTTGATGACATCCGGCAGGATCTCGACGAAATCTTCCTCATCATCTTCATCTTCTTCGGCGATGCTTGTATTGGACTGGAGGTTCCAGTTCCATGTGGTCTCCCACGTCGACCACCACCAAGCATCATCCCAGGTCCATTCGGTCTCATCCTGGGCTTCCTCATCATAGTCCTCAGTGGGCGTCGCCTCGGTGTCACCCTCGGTGGCAAGGTCCGATGAGCCCCCCCCTGTGGATGGCCTTGCCGTAGACACCGACTGTCTTCGTCCTGAGTGCCAGGCCTGGCTGGTCATGTCAGGAAGTGACTTTTGTTCTTGCATCACGCGAGTCAGGGCTTTGCAGGTCCGTGCGTACTCTTCCCGGTGTCTCACACAAAACGACACCATGGATTCGCCGCGACGGCGCCGCAGCAGCTTGAAGTAGGTCTTGAGCTGGTTGGAGATCTCCGGAAGGGCTGGCTCGCTCATCGTCTCTTTCAAGCAGCGCAGGAGCTTGCCAACGCCATCCTGAGACGAGAGCCAGCCTCGCTTCTTGTTCGCTATTGCGGTGCGTGCCGCTCCAGTCAGCTCGGCTGCCAGCCGTGGACCACATAGGTAGCGACTTTCCCACTTCACCGTCTCCTCGTACATGTAGGCAGCCCTGCGATACTCCGACCAAGTGGACGGAGTACCATCCCATGCAGGGATGCCATCTTTGGACTTCGTGACTGTCATTGGGCTCCTTCTCACTCACAACCGGTGCGCTTCAACGCACCCACACACACACCCTCAGGGCCCGATGCAGGCCCCCCTGGATCGCCGGCCTCGAGGAACTCAGCGCCTCGCCGCCCCACACCGCGCGCAACCGCAATGCAGAGCTCCGCTACCGTGCAGGACGCGCGGCGGACACACCCTTTTCCACTGAACTAAGGGGGAGGCTTGTGCCATAGGTACCAACCGGAGAGTACTAGGGACACACAATCTATACAACTTGCATATATGTATATATTTAGAGTTATACATTCAAACCTCAATAGTATAGTTTAGTTATTTGACTATTTATTTTTTAGTTGTATGTATGTTGCATGGATGCAAGCATACACGGATGGCAATTGGACCCGGTTCAGACAACTTGGGTTGACTCTCTTTGTTTGGTGGACAATGTGCGCAGAAAAGTAGCAGCAGAGAAGATAAACGGCAACCGCGTTCTGTGCCTTTCAGTTTTGGTTGTTGTTCGGTGTTGGGAGTGGAGGGTCCCGGAGATATCCGCAAACTTTCACAGCCACCTTAAAACTGACAACCTTCAATGGTCGTTATGATCTAGCAAGGCAGCACATTTTCATCATTTTTCATCCATTTTCCCAGCCAAGGACAACTCAGATCGCCAGCTTGTGCTACAAGCTGGCCACAACAGTGCTTTCATTGGTGGTGTTTCCAGAGGCCGAGCCCATCACCATGTCACTGTCGGTACCGTGTAATGTCGATCGACAAATCCTTGGGCCCCAATCCCGAAACCTTCCAAATCGAACGCTCCAATCCTTGGGGTGCTTCTGGCCCGCCAGGCACGAAAGGATCTTGGGTGGATGGCAGTGTTAGGCTATGGCCTTTCAACGGTGAGCGTGGCATTGTATGCGTGGCTTGGCGGATGGCTTGGCGCCACCAGAAACAGACGATGTGTCGGATGGCCTGCGTGGGTTTGCGCCCCTCATCAGCCTCGCTGAGCCACCATTTCAACAAACATGAAGTTGGACAAACTTTTCTCCGACTCCGCAAACTGAGTCGTTTTCATCTCTTTTCTCCGACTCCTTCCAGATCGTTTTAGACTTGGCCATGTAGCATGTCATTTTTAGACTCTTGGCCATGTAAGTGCATGTGGTCTTTCCACCTTTTTCACACGTCAAGCCTTGGGCCCGAGAAAATTTGTTCATGTTTCCATTGGCACCGGCTGTCCAGTCAACCCGTGCCCCCTTCCTTTTGGTGGCCAGGTTCTTGCCGGTGAGGCGGCCCGCGAAGGCCTCGACCTCACCGAGTGCAGCGCCCACTAAAGCCCCGGAATGAGCAAAACGCAGGTGCTGGCAGGGTTGGCAGAATCCGACCTTTGTTTGGCCCGGGTTGGTGATTGCTGGATCTGTTCCTTTGACTCGATGCGTTGTTGTGACGGAGCTGTTGCTTTGGATGGCCGACAACACCAATCAGAAAAGCAGCAAGAACAGAAGGTTTCTTTTTCAGTTGGAGTGAGGTGCCAAGCCTTGGCAATGCATATCGCCAAGCCCCTGTTTGGGTGTGCCAGTGAGGTCTCGATCCTTTCTTCCCTGGTTGATGGGCCAAGGTCGCGATGTATCTGCAGAGGAACTGGAACTGGTTCTCAGCCCCCCAAGGTAGCAATGGCGACAGAGGCGGGTTTGTAGACAACCAGCTGATCCAGAACTTTTCCCAGACAACAACTTGAGAGACATGCCCTGGTAACCACACTAGTAGCGATGCCAGGAGCCCTAGAAGCTTCTTGTTTCTAGTCGTAAGGCCAGGAGCCCCTAGTACAGTAGCGTCCTTGCTCCTAGCAGTAAGGCCAGGAGCCCCTAGTAGCGTCCTTGCTCCTAGTAGT